CACCGGATTAAAAAATCCAGCAGGTAAATACGAGTAATAGACAACAATCGGATGTTTTTCAAACCTTGGGAACAAGGTTCTAAACATTAATTCCAGGGGGCAGATAAAACATATTACAAGTAACAAAACTTTTATAACTTTCGATAAAATGCGTGGATGTTTTATTGTCATTTTCATTTGTTAGAACTTTTTTAAGCCATGTTTTTATGTGTTTTCGATATTTCAATAATTTTTTAATATAATCTTAAAATATGTCGAATATTATAAACTTAAAAAAAGTTACTAAGTTTTATATTGTGTACCGTTCCTAATATTTCTAATCATTTTAATTCATACTTTAAGCTTTATAAAGTTATAATTTGTTAATATTAATATTTGCGCGTATTTCAGGTTCCTGATCATTCATTTTTTAAAGGTTTATAACTTTAAATTAAATTGTGAAGCGCTGAGTAATCATACGACGTTCAATATTCTTTCTTTCAATATGACTAAATAATCCCAATTACAGCAATCTGATACTCATGTCTCAATGTTTTTTCGCTGAATGTGATGAAAACATTTGAAAAAGGTTCGCTTATTGAAATAAATCTACACCAGTTAGTACTTCGATTTCCAGGTAAAGGGAAAAGGCTCATTATCTGCCATATTGGCAGTGAGGATGGATTTGTTGTTGACGGTCTGTGGTGCTTTGAGTCTAAGAAAACTGGAGATTACCACGAGGAAATGAATGGCGAATCGTTTGAACAGTGGTTTTCAAAAATTTTACCGAACTTAGAGGAAAACGCAGTAATTCTGTTGGATAATGCGCCTTATCATTCTCGAAGAATGGAGAAGGTCCCAACAACGGCTTCAAGGAAAGTTGATGTTCAAAATTGGCTCCGCTCGAAAAATATCAACTTTGAAGAAGCAATGCTGAAAGTACAATTATTAAGAATTGTCAAGGATCACAAGGCGGAATATCAAAAATACGCCATTGACGAAATGACAGCAAGTCAAAATAAAACTGTGCTCCGTTTACCTCCATACCATTGCGAGCTCAATCCCATTGAGCTCATATGGGCAGAGGTTAAAAATTATATAGCTAAGCACAATACAACTTTTAAATTTTGTGACCTCAAAGGACTTTTCAAAGAAGCACTAGAATTAATAACAGCGCAAAAATGGGAAAACTGTATTAAGCACGTGAAAGACAAAGTTGAAAAGAGAATGTGGGAACTGGACAATATTTTAGAGGAACAAGTCGAGCCATTCATTATTGACGTTGGTGCTTCAGGCAGTAGCGATGATGAAAGCTCATCAAGCTCATCTTTCCAATAAAAGATTTCGTTCATCAAATTCGGTAAGTTATAAGTAATTATAAAGCTACTGTATTTTTTAATTAATTATTGTCATTTTTGAACCCATTTTGGCAAAACCTATTCAAGAATCTACTTTCTGACAATGTTCAACCATGCACATTTTTTTACGTTTTGAACGTTTTAATTTGGTTACATATTTACCTAGAAATCAAAAAATATACTAAACAATATTCTAAAAGCAATTTTAAGAGATATACGATTATTTTTAATTTAGGCTAATTTAAACGCCATTTTGAGATTATATTCGACTGTATTTCACCAAACATCAGGCGGCATCCGAAGCTGAAAATCGAAGCGAAAATTTTGAAACCCTTATGTATATTTACATCATTATATATTTCTTACCCCACCCCCACATGATCCTATATCCATCACCAATCGTATACACATCGAATTGTGCTAATTTACTACAAAGTTACGCAAAGCAGCATCTACTATCTAAAATATGTACTGCGTGACTCTTAATACGTCCCTGCCGAATGTTACAGCGTTCGATGATCACGTGGTCTTGTTTATGTCCGGTCTATCTCTTATCTGAATATACTGTAGAGTAGTTTGGGATAATATCTCTCTCAAACAAAAGACCACTGGAAAGCAGCTTATTTTATTCAATAATACTTTAGTAAGTTTTTTTTTCAGAGGCGTGTATTTGCAAGAGGCAGCAGAGGCTTAGAATGTTTTTTAATGATATTTTTCTAGCAAATTGAACCATTATATCTATAACGAATTCTCTTTATAAACCCAATTTTATAAAAGCATTCCTTCAGATTTTGCTAAATAACCAATGAAGAATTTTCTATATACATTGAAAATATATATGTATTAGATTGTTTGAGAATATGTTGCTTCATATATTTCCTAAATATATATTTACGAAAAATATTAGATATTTCATCAAAATATAAAATTGATATTAAAAAATATTTCCTGATATATTTTCTAAATATTTGGAAAAAATATATGAACTATATATACTACAAATATCTATAATGAATATTTAATGAATATTCAATGAAATATATTTATTTAATATTGAAAAACCTGTCGATACAAATATTTAACAAATAATTAGGAAATATGCTTCGCTCACTGGAAAGCTATAAATATATCGTCGTTTTTCTAATTTTACAAACGATCTGTTGATATTTATGGGAGTTTCGGCTGATAGCGATAGGCTTATAATAATAGTTGTTCAACTTGACCCTGAAGTGTCGTGACAATGAATTGTAACTTATTATATATATAGAATTGCAATACAGAGCAATATTTAATGATCATGCGTTCATTTGTAGGCCAGAACCGCTCGAACTTTTAGGCTTTGACAGTAATTATTGAGATCTACCGAAACCGAACATTTATTGTTATATTTACTAAATTATTTTCAATTAAGCCTGCATTTGATAACAAAAGTATAGCAATGTCCCATTGAACAGTGACTCCATCGTTAAGTTATCGAGAAGGCGCGAGGCTTTTAAAAATACGAATAACAATGCAATTAGCTCAAATTGTCATTTACTTTCGTCCATCGCAAGTGTCAGCTTCTCGAGTATAGTTACCGGGTCGTGTAAGTCATTGCATCTTACTTACTTTTTTTGTGGATTATAATTTCAATCCCAGTGTTTTCACGTAGTAACAATATGGAGGTCCACGAATATGGTATTTACTCTTATTATTCACCTATTTTATGTAAAAACATGCGTTTTGGAGTTTTATATGAATTTTTTATTGAAAATTGTTTTGCTAGATTTTTTTCCTATAAAATTAATTCATTTCGAGTTAGAAATGTTTGGCTGCGCCTTGTTGCAGCTGAGATGAATGTTATCTTAAAGTAGAGAATGTCTAGATTAGGGGCATATAAGTTTCATCTGCATCCTGCTGCCACTTCTTAGGTTTGTGAGGTGTCGAACCATATATGTTCATAGTAGAGAAAAAAAGAGGTGTTTTCCAAATCTAATTTTGTTGTTGTTTTAGGTAAATTTTTTAAGTATCTAAGGAGGACTATTTTGGATATTTCGCACCCTAAGGAGGGTAGTGCCAAAGAAAAATTGAAATATTCGTCGACACGTTGACTGAAACGCCGTGACTTTTAAATCAATTCTGGTAATAGATGACGCGTTGCGCTGACTTATTTCGACCGTAACTGCTGGATAGAGGATAGTTGCTATGCTTTCGTTTGTTGTCCAGACATGATTGACGAAGCCTAGACCATGCTGATGAGCAGCTAAAAAGCATGAAACAGCTATCCATGGTAGGCTGTTTTTTTTGGTCGGACAGGCGACAGCAGTATGTTTTAGTATTAATGTCTTTGTTTACGCGACGTTTCGGGACAATTATATCCAGGTTTATTCACTACAAAAGATATAAAAGCGTCGTTCTGATTGGATGAATACAAAAACATACATATTAAAAGTTGCGTCGAAAACGAACAAGTTAGAAAAAATGAATAAACACATGAAGAGTTATAAAATGATGTGAAAATTGCTACTGCATTAACAGTTCGTTTCCTGAAATGAGATTGACTATTCGGTTCAAAATACGCATACAACGAAAACTAAAACTGGGAGGTAGGAGGAAGAAATTTATTGTTATGTCTCATTTGAATAGATATTAGAGAGATTGTTTGGATCTGTCCTATAGTTTAAAATCCTAGATTCGCTTCGATATGAATATTTTCTAAAATGTTTTTCATGAACCAATCTGGTTAATCTAGTAAATTTTTTTGTTTTCAAAACCGATATTATCATTCTTTTCAACTGCATATTTGCTAAAATCATTGGGTGCCAAATTTTTGTTTTTTATATCATATTCGTGCTTGAAAAACTTGAAATACAGTTTTGTTCGTCTTACAGTGTAACATACATACTTGTACATCCTTTCCAAACTATTCTATTTGCTTTGCATACCATATTCAATGTGTTGGTTGAGACGGAAGTTTGAGAAAATGTGTATAATGACGTTAATCGTCTTGTGGACCACTTGCATGTTATGCTTTTGAAAAATGTTTCTTACGTCTTCCTTTTGCATTGACACAAATTTCTCATTATTCGGTTTTCTAATAACGCTGTCTTATATGCTAGTAAGTTGTTTATGTCATCTATTAGAAGTATCGCTTTATCACTGAAATGGCGGATTACACTTTTCCTGCGGTGGACAACTTTATCGGGACTGTTAGAACCGGACTCAGAGTTGTCGGGGGTTCCCGCCACCATATGTATGGGCAGGTATTACCGCAATGGACGAACTACTCATAGGGAGCAGTATCACGTTTATTTTTCGCACACAACAATTCTTTTGTATAACGGAAGTACCCACGTAGGTAACAGCTTCTAAGAGGAACTCAAAGAAACTTTGTTTATCTGATTTTAGAAATACCTAAGGTTAGTAGAACTGGGAAAAGCCTTCTCAGGTAGATTGTTCCCCAATCTCGGTGCCCTAGGGACAAGGGAGCAGTAATATCGAGCAGTTCTGGATGTACAAAGTTCGCTACGGTTAGGATACGAAACCGAAGTCAAGCCCCTCTTTGTACAGGACCGAGCACGGATAATGTAAGGTACCTGAGAGTATTAACGCCCACTTAACAAACTTTTTTTAATCTGCTAATGACGAGTGAGGATTTATAAATTACTGCATTACTAAAAACATCTTTATTCTAAATAAATACAAATTTCAGCCTTTTTTAGCTCTTAAAGCATCGCAGGGCCTTTATAGGCCATTTCAAAAAAATGATGTTTTCGGGCGCCACCTAGTAGTATACATTAACGCCCTATGGGAAATGCAGTGTAAGGTACACAAAAGTAAACAAAAATATACTGCTTAAAACTATTTCTCAGTTTAAAAAAGTCTTCAAGGCTTGGGCGTTATCACCCAGACAAAACTTTCTAATAGGAACGAAAGGAACATTTTTCTTTGCTGCAAAGTGAAAAAGAACAATAAATACTTAAATAATGCAACGACACTTATTAGAGCAGTCCTTCATTAACAAAAAAAAGCAGGAAATGAAATACTAACACTCTGGGTATTCAAAAATTAATTCGCTTTCTGTCAGACCAACACACTCCTCATGGTACCAGACTTGGCATTTCATGCACTGTCTCATGTCTGATAAACGATTTTCTTTGCAAGCTGGACAATACCAATCTGAAACTCGAGCTGGAATAATCCTTGAACTCGATGGATTTTGCTGGAACAAATCCTAGTAATCGTTTGTGCTTTGTAGTTCATTGCTTTGTTCCGTGGTGGTTTAACAGTAACAGCTTGCTTCATATCTGGTGTTGGCAGAAGTTTTTGGAACGTAGTACTAGAACGATAGTTAATCCGTTTTTGTAACTCTTGAAGTGGCAAGTAACCTTCGGAATCGGATGAATCCACTATGTGTGAGGTGGCATTTTCTTTTTGTCTTGGAAATAACATTTTTCCGACACCCTTGGACGTTCAGCGTTGCTGGTTGACGTCCTGTGACATGTTGGTTGGTCTCAGGCAGTAAACATTGCATAAGGATCGGTGGAGCGAACGCCGTTGCGGGAATGGCTTCGGGGTTAAAAGGATAAATCCCTATAGCCCTAAATCCACTAGTTATATTAGCACGTTCTCGACGACGTGGTACACCGGTGGTACATCGCCTATTTTGCCAAAAATCGTCATTGATCACCGGTGGTGCACTGCCAATTGATTATTTCACGCGCTACCAATCATTACAGCTTATAGTAAGGAATTGTACATTCGGCATACGGCTATAGATATAGTAAATACACAGTAGTGCGCTACCGGTGCCGCATTTGGCTATAATTTTATATCACATTTAATTAGAGGTATAAAAATCCATGATTTTCATAAGATTTTATTTCTAAAACACACTGTAACAACCGTATGGAGTAACTAAACTACGTAATTGGTTAAAATAATTAGTGAAAAATAACGCAAAAATATTTTTTCTAACAATGGAAGTAAGCACTTATATATTTAGGTAGGTAACATAACTTTACGTATGAATTTCATTGAAACATTGAAGACATAGTGTCAGTTGCTCTGGACAATCTTTACAGAATGTAGAGACACGCTTGGCTTTATTTCTAGCCTCTTTGACACCGCTTGTGTTCTGAAGTTTTTATTTCCCTCAGTGGCCACCGGTGGTACACTACAGCAATAATGAAAAAAAAGAATCATCAAAGCCGTCGTGTACCACCGGTGGTACATATTGAAAAAGGTATTCAAAACTCAAAATAATACTCACACATTTTCTAGAAATTACATTACAGAAAATGTACATTTGCACTAGAAAAAACACCAAAAAAAAAACAATTATCGGCTACTGTCGTGTTTTACTCCATGCATTGTCGTCGTGAACGTGTTAGAGTTGGTCATACACTTCGACCAAACGTTGGTAAAAATCTTGTTGAAGCTGGTTTTATTAATTGTCCGGCCTGGATTCTCAGATTGATACTTTAGCAACTCTGCGTCCCAATGATGTTCATAAGAACGATACACAGATTTATTTGTCAAGCGGCTGTAGTTCGTGCGTTGTGTTTGATGGTAGACAATAAAGGGTAATATCGTGCTCTTCAGCGGCATTAACTATTCTCAAGTCCAAATGACATGCTGCACCACCAAACACTAGGAGGACTTTGCCAGGTGGCCTAAAACTGGCAAGGTGCTTTATAGAATCAACAAAGAGATCGGTGGTCATATAACCTTTAGGGGACATCATTACTATACTACCCGTTGGCAAATCGTCACAATATTCTGGCTTAGCTCTTTTACCCTTGAAACTTGGAATTGGATTACCAATGGCGGATACACATCCCACCACGGTAACATTTTCGGCATGTTCATTTGAGATAAGATGAACCCTCTTCACACCTCGTTGTGCAAGAACGGCAGGTTGATGGTGAAGGGTCAGACGGCAACCTTTCTCATCCAAATTTAAGATTTTCTCAGGTTTCTCCAATTTATCTAATAAGTTACCAATTTTTTTGAAATGGTCCTCTACTATGAACTTGTTCAGTTTTTGCGCTCTTGCCTGATTCATAAATTATGCTTTCCTTTTTGATACAATAGGGTTTCTTTTTAAGAAAGATTTCATCCAAACCTTTCCTGCTTTTTGGCTTTCTGTATTGAAATTATTTGGGATGTTATTTATTTCACAGAACTTGAAAACATTAAAACGTAACGTTTTCAAGGTAAACGGCAACCCTACATCGGCCAAACGCAGAATCCTTTGCACTAAATGTTTCTCTTTTCGGACAAATCTTTTAATGCATTTTCCGGTTTTGAGGTGATCCCGAAGTGTTCTTCTGAGAATATGATATCTCTCCGACGCAGCTCTCTGAGTTAAGTTCCCCTTGATACTGACAGAATGGCTGCCTCCATATTCGCTTCGTGCCATCCTACACCTCTTTTTCGGACTGGCGTTGACGATTTCTTTTCCATGCCTAATCGCTTCTGAAATAGTTTAATAATATCATATTTTTATTTGTTTAATAACGCCCGCTTAGGCTGTTGAATAACGCCCACCCCAAATTTGGCTGGGCGTTTTAACACGCTCCACTACTTAAAACAAAAATAGCCAATTCAAGGAAAAAAACATAGTAACAAGTAGAACTATTAGCTAAAATACAAATTTACTTACTTATTTGCAGCACCTAATTTTATAAAATGGATCGCACAACCACCTGTTTTGTATGCTTGGTTATAACTGACTGCGAAAACTCGCTAATCGCATCGAATATCACTGTCTTCGTCTTACTACAGTCGAGTATGATCCTTATAACCTGGGTTAGCTTCAAATAATCCAGTGCGAAACGCCAAATTCAAAAGCGGGCGTTATTAACCACCGGGCGTAATTGCCCGCACCTACCATAGTCAGGCGGCAGCACCCCAAACATGTATGCAGTGGTAGAAGCCAGATCTTATCTGAACCTTGTGCATAGTGATGAGGTTATGTCGAGAAAAGTACTTCAAAGCATTGAACAGATCCTAGCTTTTTCCCAGTAGCTGCCCCTATTGACGAGATGTGTTCATACCAGATCAAATCCTTTTGGAAACATAAGGCTGTACTTGATTGTTGCGGTTCCAAGCAGTGATTACCTCGACCAGAGAGTCAGTCAGTCACCCATCTGCAAAGTTTCTCTGAGCGGCCATAGGATGGAAGCTTACATAAAAGGGCAGCATGGCACAGCTTATCGAACGATTTCGTGATATGAAGTGCAACATCAGCCTCACCATATGAATAGGATTTAGAATGACGTAATTTCACTGATTGTATTTCTCTAATCAAACTCTTTTATTTAATGCCCACTGTGGGAATGATCCGCAATATGTACTCAAAATGGCGATTCATTTTGTATTGTCACGCGAGCTAAAGGCGTATGTAAAATTTCAGCTCAATTAGTTAATGTTATCTGCTTCAAAATTCAGTTTCAGGATTTATCCCACACATACAAACAGGTCAAGTTAAATAAAAGCTTGTAAAAGAGGGTATCCGTGTGTCATAAATAATGAAGACCCACTCCCTGTCGAACGCAATCAATAATAAGCCACAATCGGACACAAACTCTGCTCTCGCGGTTGTCTAGCCCCTTCCACGTCCGCCGGAAACCACCCCTAAGAGAGGCGTGACCTGAGCCAGGTGCCTCCTTCATCCCTTACGTTCGCCGAGAACCCTGGACGGTGGTTACGTCACCCTGCCGTTTTCATTAGGATCGCAGCAACGCGAGGAAGTTTAGGGGTAGTTTATACATTATAGTATTCGGTAGCGTAAAGGGATATAGCAGGGTGGCAGTAAGTACCGGTTTGAGAACGTCAATAGATGAAGGAAGAGTCGTAATTTTGTGATTGAGGTTTGTAAAACACGTGATAATGTAATACCGTACACAGTAATGGAATGTTGTTTGACAGATGAAATTTCACCCTGGAATACTGTATAACTTTGATTTTAAATACCGCCTAAATCATTACAGTAATGGAAGGACCCTTAATGACAGCCGATTAGTTTCTAACCACGTTTACTCCGACCACTTGTTTAAGAAACGCTATGGTTACCAGGTAGCCCATTTATCGTGAAAAATATATTTTCTGTCAATTTTAGCACTTTTTGATAACCAAATCAAGTAAACAAACAAGGAATCATGACAATGACAGCACTCTTATTCCAAACGTTCTGGAAGGGTTACTTCGTTCTCCGAACTCATGGAACTTATACGTCAAACAATTTCGAACGCTCAAGTTGTTACAGAGTGGCACAAAGTACACAATTCACGAAGACGGTCCAAAATAATAAAGCTTTGGTACTTCCTGAATGCATGCCGGGTGTATAATGAGCCTACTGCTCCATTATTTTTAAAGTTATTCTCAAAAATTGTAGGCAACTATGCGCTCGTTGCTTGGAAAATATGCCGCTCTCTACAGCGTGATTCATAACTAAAAGGTTACAAAAAATAAATGAAATATGTTCTGAAAAGCCTCTTCAACGGAAGACGCTTGATGCTGCTACTTCTGAAAGTACAGGATATTTTGTCAAGATACAAAAAACACTCAACTTTGATAGTTTGTAAGACAGTCAATTTATCAAAAATTGAAATTGAATATACTGCATTCTCTTACGGTTTTGAGGCGATTTTGGGTTATCCTTTCTATAAATATGATATTACATATTACATAATTAGGAAAATTTTACGTCAGAACATATCAAAGAACAAAATATTTAGTGTATCGTGAAATTGCTGTTAATTGCGCCAGTTGTTTTGGAAACAAGAGAAATAATCGCTCTTCGGCTAAATTCAGGTACTGGTGTTATCCACTGCAGAACTACTTTACACTGATGCTCCTGTCCAAAAGCCAGATTATATTACCTATTTGACAAGTATTGATTTATACTGATAAATGTTCAGCAGAGAAGGCTCCTAGAGGGGGTACATAAGTAAAATTTAAAATCATATCATAAAAGTGCCTATAAATCATATTAGACAAATTCAAGATATTTTGACCCACCCTTTCCACTCGTAAACGGTTCGCTTTGAACTAAGAGTGCCTTTTCAATTTGACATTCAGATTTATGAAAACACGTGAGGGTATAAAGTAGATACGACAACAATTAAAAGTTGTCTAATGTACCGCTAAATAAAATAAGGAGTCTTATTTCAAGCAATTCTCA